GGTGGGGAAAAAAGTTACTTTTTTCCCACCATAGAGAACAATGGAGGGGATAGGGGCAACCTGTTTGGGGGCCCGTAGAATTGGACCCCCTGGTCCAATGTTCTTCAAACTTGGTTGGTATCTTGGGGAGAGGCTCCACCAGCTACCCCGTGAGTTTGGAGCCTCTCCCTCAAACTCCCTCCCCTCCACCCCCCAGAATATACCCTATGCTTTCGCCATTGACTTCAATGGCCCATAGGATATAATGGGGCCAACATTGACTTTCGGCTGGCCCCTTTTCAGGCCCGGCGTTCTAGCGCGGAGCCTGAAAAAGGAGGGGAGGGTGGGGTGGGGGGGCGGCGGCTCTGCAGGCCATTTTTCAGGCCCAGCGCTCCAAGGCGGGGAGGGCAACTCAGCAGTCTCCCCCCCCCCCAGCGGTGGTTGCAGCTGGTGCCGAAAGCGGCGGCAGCAGCCATAACTTTTTAAAGAGCCCCTAAAGACAGCTGGGGGAGTCAGAATGACCTCTCTTGCGAGAGGTGGAATTTGCCCTTACAAGTCCAAGGCCACCCCCACCCCCCGGGGCTCAGGGAGGCAAGGGAATGTTTTGCCCCGCCCCCCGCGTGGGCGTCGGAGCTGCTGCCGAGAACGATGGCGGCCATAACTTTTGAGAGCTGGGGGAGCCAGAATGGCCTCTCGCCTGTGCTCGGACATCACACACGAGAGGTGGAATTTGCCCCTACGAGTCCAAGGCCACCACCCCGGGGCTCAGGAAGGCAAGGGAATGTTTCGCCTCCCCCCTTCCCCCCGTGCGGGCGTCGCAGCTTCCGCCGAGAACAGCTACGGCGGCCATAACGTTTTAAAGAGCCCCTCCCGAGAGCTGGGGGAGCCAGAATGACCTCTTGGGTGAGAGGTGGAATTTGCCCCTAGGAGTCCAAGGCCACCACCCCGGGGCTTAGTGAGGTGGGGGAACGTTTCGCCCCCCCCCCCACCGTGTCCCAACTGATGGCTGGTGGGAACAGGGGGCGGGGCTTATGTGCCTGCGCCCCCTGGGCTCCTGACTGGAACGGAGGCCTGCTCAAATCTAAAATTGATTTAAACTGTTATTGTCATGCCCACTGAAGTCATACTGATGTCAATATTTGGCATCTATAGCTTGGTTAATTCAGCTTGTATTCCATGCTTCCTCTAGCGAGATCAGGTCTTATATTTTAGCTTCATGACAGCCCTGAAGCTAGGTTAGGTGCAACCCACAGCCCCTATTAGCCTTTTTGTGGAGCATTTGATCTCTGGTTGGCTCAAAACAGTAACCACTACACCACAGTGCAAATCATAGTTTTGTATTTACTTCCTCGTCTTCCCCCCCCCCCCCCCTTCAGCAGCAGGGTGCAATGCCTATTTTATATTGCCTCGTCCCGATCCTAGAAGAGCTAGGGATACTTGCACGTGCAATGTACTTAAGTATGTGCATGTTTCAAGGGCCTACTGTTACCTTTTCTTGGCAAGGAAGGTCGGTATGGAACAAACGCAAATTGAGATTGCGTTTATAGTCTCTAAATTTAGGTGGTCTGTACTGATGCCGGAGAAAAAAGGAATACATTCCGGCATTTCCATTCAGGCTCTACGTAGGGCAGCTGCGGTCGGGTCTTGCGGTCTCCAAGGCGCCCTTCAGTGGGTCACAAGGCAGAGAAGAGGGTTGGTGGGTGTGCACTACGCAGAGAAGACACCGGAACAACTGAACTTGATAGCAGGGAGGCGGGAAAGCAGATGGATGGACATGTCCCGCCTCCAATAGGACGGCGAGGATAGTAGCCGAGTGTCCAATGGCAGACGCTCTCGGAGGGTCGGTGGGTGGGGCTGGCAGAATTGGCGTGGATGACGGGACTGAGGGCTGTAAGGAGCGGGCTTCATGTGGGCTTCGGCGCGAGGGGGCCGGAGGGGAAGCAGGAGAAATTGGGGGCTGGCGGCGCTCCTCCCTCTTCCCCAGCGCTGGAAAGACCTCCGCCTGGGTCCAGATTCCGGGTAAGGGGCTGCGCTGCGGCCTTTAGCAGCGGTCGGGACCACGCTTCTGGTGAGCTTGTGGGGTGGCAGCCCTGTCCTGATCGGCCACGAGGAGGGCTACTTGGGGGTCGTCCTGGCTGAGGAATAGCAACGAAAGGGAAGGCCTGCTGGCTCGCTTGGGGGGGGGGGGTGCGTCCCGTTGTGCTCAGTGCTCCGGGACAGGTGTGCAGAGAGTCCTGATGGACCAGCTTGGTGGTGCCTGGCGGGCTTCCCGGCCCGGTTCCGTTTCTGTGTGAGCTTACTTGGGGGTAACTCCCACCCAGTCCCCCCCCCCCCCAGTAAGCGTGTTATAGCGCGGTTAGAATTGTAGCCTACCAGTTCTTCGAGCCATCAGCTTTTGTGGGCGAGAGGCTCCCCCCTCCTCACGAGATGCACGAAGAGATTAGGTATACTTACAAGATGAAGGAGAGAGGGGTAAATGGTGAAACAAAAAAAAGTGACAGCAGGAAGTTTCCTTGGTTGCTGTCACATGTTGGGTCTCGTCTCGTTCACCTCCCAGGAAGGTGCCTATTAATATGTAGTATTAATGGTTAAGACGCTGAACTGCAGGCTGTGGAAGGTCAGTAGTTCAGCAGTTCGAGACCCGGGTGCCGCATGATGGAGTGAGCTCCCATCTCTAGTTCCAGCTCCTGCCAACCTAGCAGTTCGAAAACAAGACATTGCAAGTAGATAAATAGGTACCACTTCGGTGGGAAGGTAATAGCGTTCCGTGCGCCTTGGTGTTTTAGTCATGCCGGCCACATGACCACGGAAACGTCTTCGGACAGCGCTGGCTCTTCGGCTTTGAAACGGAGATGAGCACCGCAACCCTAGAGTCGGATTCGACTGGCTTTCGAGCAAGGGAACCTTTACCTTTATAAATAATGCTTGGCAGTTGCAGTATCTTGTTATAATATAATGGTCTTGTCAGGTAGTTTGGTATTATTATAACTCGTGTTGTAGTAGTTGCCTTGAATGAGTGGGTGGGTGGGTGTTTCTGGGTTAGCGAAAGGAAGAGTAGATGGTAACTGGACTTGGCCCGGAGGTTGGCTGTTGCTTATCTCTAACATCAGTAGAGTGCAGTACCTGCTTTTATTAGAAACTAATTTTTGTAAGCATGTAAGTTGCATGTTCTCTCTTGCTGTGTGTAGATGGGCATGATTCTAGTCTTACTGGCTGTCGGGAAAAGAAACCATGCAAATCCCATGAGATTTGAGTGGGCATTGTCCTCATGTTTTCATATTTTGCTTCCTTGGGGCTACAAACTTGCTCCAGTTTAAAAATCAAAATTGAGTTTTGTGCCTAATGCCATGTTTTGTATGCCTGTAGAAGGCTGGTGCACAAACAAGTAATGAATATGGATTTTGATAGTAAAGGATGGATGCTTCATTTGTGACATAGGAAGGGGGCAGTAGTCATAGTTCAAGGATTTGAATGCCTAGGAATGAATGTAGATAGAATAGTAGTGTTGTCTTATAAGAACATAAGAAGCCAATGTCGGATCAGGCCAATGGCCCATCCAGTCCAACACTGTCACACAGTGGCCAAAAATACCAGGTACCATCAGGAGGTCCACCAGTGGGGCCAGGACACTAGAAGCCTGGATAAAAGTATTTCAGGTATTCAAAGCCCATAAAGCATCACCTGTTGAATAGACCTTAGAACAACTTTGTTAAGGTGTTCTGTCTCGTATTGCAGAAATGGCAGGGAGATGAAGCTGTGGCATTTGGTGGTCTGAACTGTGGACTTCCCCAACTCAAACACCTTAAAGGCTTGGTTATACTGGGTCTCATATGACATGTCACTTAACGCTGGGGCTCTAAAGGCCAGTGTAACATGATTAGCTATAGAATTCTTTCTCCATTTGTAATATTTTTTAATTTAGGCAGCATAAAAATAAATGTTCTGGTTTGTTCTGAACATCTGTAGGGTTTCCTCTCCTCCACATGTGAAATTAGTTGCAAATATATTTGCACCAGTATAATACATAGTATTTGCACCAGTATAATACATAGTATAATCTGATGGCTAGCGATGGTTCACAATGCCCTTCTGCCATAGATTAATTTTAGTGCTTTGGGCAAATTATTTTCAGGCTTAGTTCTGTGTGACATTGGAGTAATAGAATCATGGAAGGGTAAAAAGGTTTTGTGTAAATAATCTTGATTTATTTGATTGATTTTGATTTTTATTGATTTTTATCCTGCCCTTCCGGCCTAGGCTGGCTCAGGGCGGCTTACAACAGAATAAAAATTCTCATAATCCATAAAACATAATTCATTACATTAATACAGTTCCTGATAAATAATACAATTGTATAAAACAATATTAAAATCAAGCAATGTTAAATAATTGAGAAACAGTAATAGAACTTTTTTTGTACAGTTTAAGTACAGGTAACAGGAGGGCTGAAGGATTTCCTAGCTCAGAGGCTTACAGGCAGGGCTGTGAACAGCTGTCCCTTGAAGGGATGTTGACAGCTGACAGGTAACTTCTAGGCAGTTGTAGCAAGAAAACCAAGTATGATGGAGCACCAGAGTGAGTTAGGCTGATCCCATGCATTGTTCCATAATAAGAATGCATGTATAGGACTGGGCTGGGCGTAGCTTCCTGTAGCCACATGTGAAAGTGAGTTGCCGCTTGCTAAGCTCGTATCCCAACAAGCCTGTTAAATCCAAAGATCTCTGATGTCTTGACCAGTGGGCTGTGCAGAAACACACATGGCCTGTGGTTTTCCATACTTCTCCCCCAGCCAGCAGCAGCATATCATTAGAGAGGCAAGCGAGGAGAAGTCTGAGTGCCACAGCTTGCAGATCCTCCTGTTTCTTTCCACTGATACCTCAGGCTAATAGGTTTACTCTCTTTTGGAGGTGAGCAGCAGCTGTCCCTCTGGCCTGGCCTCCTGGGAGATTAGCAACAGCCGTTCTGAGAGAAGGAGAGGTTGTTTATTTCCCTGTTAGTTGAGAGTCTGAAGGAACCTTGAGGAGAGCCATCCTGGTCAGCTGCCTCACAACTAAGAGAATTTTGCACCAGGGTCGTTTTGGGCTGCTGGTTAAGGTCACGCTGTTTGGAAGCTTTAGTTGAAAGACCGAAAGCTGATCCTGTTTCTAAGGCAGATTACCTGCCAGATTTAATATCCTGTCAAGGTGGAAGATGGGGAAGCATCACCTTTATTTTTGGCTCCTGCTGCCCTGATTAGGAAAAATGAGGAACTGGGAGGAGGAAGTCATCAGCAGAAATGCTTTATAGTGAGAGGGTGAGGGTGGAAATAAAAGAAACGGGGCGTAATTTCTGACAGTGAATGGAACAAATAATCTGCCCTTTCAGGTGGAGTTCCATGTGATTTGACCCAGCCTGTTCTCTGTCTCCAACCCATATCAATGCTTCATGCTGCTTTTAAGAAGATATTAGCCTTTGGACTGTTTAAACATGTTGAATCTTCCCCCCCCCCCAGCTAAATATTAACATCCCTTTCTGTTATTTCCCCCACTCCCTTTTCAGTATAATGAGTGTGGGATGCTGATATTAACATCACTGTTTTGGATCTTAATTGATTATCTTATAGTATAAATGTTATGCTGCAGCACAACAGTCAGACACAATTTCAAGTACTGCACAAGTGAACTCCTGCAGAGTTTAGCACAATATGGCCTAGATGTCCCTGCACCCCATAGTTATCAGCCACTGTCTGTAGTCTGCATGGGTCCTCTAATTAGTCTAGTTATCTTTCACAAACTAGAAGTCAATTTCAAAGCAGGAAGTATAAAAGGGTAGAAGGGAGTCTTCTCAAGATACAGCCATGGGCATGGCTGCATAATAATTACTTCCCCTGTACCGCTTATGAATTGGGTGAGTTGGCTTGTCTCATCTCATTGGTTAAGGCAGCCAGGCAACATTTCTTCCATAAATCTTATATCAGTACAGTAGTGGCTAGGTTGAAAGGGGTCTTTGATGTAGGGTACTTGGCAGGGGCTGACTTCCGGTGTTGCACTGCTAGGCTTGGCTACTGGTTGTTGCTCCCATAAGCCTAGAGTAAGTTTAACCACATGGTATTAGTACCAAATAGCGCAAAGCAAAATCATAACCATATTCTTAGAAACCTTACAATTGATGTTAGCTGGAGTTTTCTATGACTAATTATCTGTTCTGATCTCTCTCTCCTTGGCTAGGACTCTGGCTCACCAGTGAGGCTCAGCAGGCATGTTCCACCCACTCCAGTGGAGGCCTCCCTCCAGCATTTATTCCTGCTACACTAACTCAGCCCGCTTCTTTGGCTGCAACGGGAAACTAGGTTTCTGGCAGAATGAGAAGACCTTGAAGGGCAGCTTCCAGTGGTTGTTTGCTTGGCTGCAGAAAAGCACAGTGAAATGTCCCAAGCAGAAGAGCCTCCTCTCCCTGCTGGCCAACCAGTGCAGCTATGTAACCAGCCAGAGGGTCCAGCGTGCCCAGCAGATTGGACAGTTGTACAGTAACATCTACTCTGAGAGGACACGTAAGAGCCTCTTCAGCTCCTTGTGGCGCAGGTTCCAGGGGCGTCATTGCAATGCTGGTAAGCTGATGGCCCTCCTCACCGGTGTGTTCTTGTGGGAAGAGGAAAGAATCAAAGAAGAAGAACTGAAAAGGTGGGTCCTTCTGGTAGTGCTAAGTAGGCTCTTGGATCTGGTGCAGCAGTGGCCTAAAGAAGGGGAAGGATCTTACACAGATAAGGTGTAACCTTTATTTTGTTCCTTGTCTTCTAGGCTTTACTCTAAAGCCACTGTTTTCTCCGGACCAGAGTGTCCATACGTACACATGGCTGTGTGGAATCACATAGCATCAGGACTTTCTGCTGCAGCCCTGAAGCCAATCAAGACACAGAGGCTTTGCCCTCGTACATGTTTTCAAATAATCCTGTAACTTAGAAAGGTTTTTTTGGTTCTATTATTATTTTTTTAACTAATGTTCCTTGGTTATCTGTTTTGAACCATCTAATGGATTTTTTTGGAAACTGAAAAGCGATGGAGGATAAGAAGTGTCTGACACAGAGATTAAGTGGTATTTAAACAACAGCAAACTTTGAGACTCCTGCTTAGGTCATGTGATTTTACAGGCTTCCACTCACAGCTACAGGTGCATTATGAGAAAAGACAGAAGATTTTTTATTGTACTGCCCAACTGGCATTGGATCTGCAGTACAGCGTTATGGAGATGGGTAGTCTAGCCTATCAGTTGGGACTGTTTCAGTGTGGTAGCTTTTGCTCTCACTTCTCAAACTGCCTGGAAGAAGTGATAGCTTAGCCTCAAAGTACATTAGACAAGAGACTCCCTCATGTGTCATATCCAGTTTCAGTCTCTGAGACTTGTGGAGGACACCTTGTTAATATCTCTGTATTGTTTTCAGAGAATAGTGCACAAAGTTGTTCTCTGTGGCTTTCCCTCCCCTGCAATGGGTAACCCGTAGGACTGCTGTGACCCCTCTCTGTTACCGAACTCCCTTTTACTGTAGTCTCACCTACTGGGAATATCAAAAGACCTACCTGTTTGTGGAGCTGGCCTCGGGAGCTTGGGCTTTTGTTGGGAAGAGGTGTGTGTGTGTGGGGGGGTCCTAAGAATTTTGGTCACAGATCTAAAGAGTTATTGCATGTAATTCTTCAAATGTTGGGGCTAGCCTCAGATGTGTGCATGATCCATGTAATTGTGCTGTGGCCAGTTTTTCAAGCGGCTCCCTGCAATAAGCTCACGTCTAGCTTTTGTTAAAGTGGCTGCCTTTGAATAGACAAGAGCATGAGATTTTACTTCAGCAGCTTCTAAAGTGCCATATTCCTCATGCTTTATGTGGACATAAGGTGCACGGCACGTAGCCAGTACCTGAGCAATGGGTTGTGGGTGCAATATCAGCTTTAGTAGAAAATGTTTTGGCCTTTGGCTTGGAAGGTAGTGTTGTGCAAGAAGCTACTTCAGGGCATTGCAGAGGTAAGTCAAGAATATAGGTGCACAGCCCACCGGAAACATCTCCTGTGCAAGCCTGATTGAAACACAGAGCACCTAAGTGCCATTGGCATGGCCAGTGCTTTAAAGTGGAGTTAGCACAGGAGCGGTTCCTGGTGGGCTATGCCTGGTGTTTTGAAACTACAGTTAAGAGTATGACGTGATCCTTTTAAGGGTTTTGTAGTTGTTAATCCCATACTTGGTTACTCTTTTAAGCCCATTCTGGGAATAGGTCATACAGGCTTCCAGGTGAAACCACAGAGAGCTCTCAGTAGCAAAGCCTGGTATCTAGCTAGGAGACAACTGGAAGCATGGGCAAGAACAATGCGTGCCTGGTACATGGTGTAATCTGGTTGAGGCTTGAGACCGATCTGTTAGGGAGGAACAAACTCCCTGCTAACCACCATGTGTAAATTCCAATTTTACAGAATCGAGGGGAGATGATGGTATGGATTTAGCATCCCTCTTGTGTTGCTTACAAACTGTAGGCAGAGCAGCCTGCAGACTGATCATGTTGTCACCCTCCTTTAAGCCAGGTGGGCTCACCGGTGACTCAGCAAGCCAAGCACAGCCTTTTTGCCTTGTGTGGTAACCCACTAAGCTTGGCAAATCTCTTGTTTGAGCTGGACCTACAAAAAAGGGGGGGAGACGGCTTTTGTCAGGCCCCTGTCAGGCCACCACCATACACATCTGTTGACTGTTTGGCCAGTACTGGATGGACAGACCCATTCGTGGCTGTGTTTTGGTTCTGGCTACCTAATTCCAGTGACGGCAAGTGCCAGCTGCTGATCAGCTCTGCAGTCTGAGTTGCATGCTTGAATCTTGCTTGAGGTTTGGGGAAAAAATTTCCTGCCTCCAGGAGGATCCCTGGGAAAATTTTTGAGGAGCTTGGTAGTAATTAGAATGTTCATGACTCTCTACTTCCCTCTTCAAAGACCTTTTTCGCACAATGCCTCTTTTCAAAGACCCTTTTCCCACAATGCAGCAGCCTGTTCACAAATTTTTGTGCATACCTTACTGCCTTATGCTCGATATTCCCCAAAAGAAAGAATTTGTCTGTAATCCAGTTTGCATGAGATTAATTTTAACTGTATTTCGAGAAGGTCTGTTGGAAGCTTTTTCGTGGAGGCTGGATTTGAGCAATTGCCTTGCCCTTTGGGAAAGAGCTGGGAGTTGCTCAGTGCTGTATTTGGTGCTTTATTTTTGGAGTTCGTATCAGGAGAGTTTAGAATGTTATTAATTGCCAACGATAGCAACACACGTGCATCAGGGCTCTCTCTTTCAGGCAAAAATAATGGTAATGCCGGATCAAAGACAATGTTCTGTTTTGTTTTTTCTCTGCGATAGCGCTGTGCAAGACGTGTCAGTTACAGAAACGTTAAACGTGATCCAATTAAAAGAGAACAGCTGGCTAAATGGCAGGTTGAATGCAGCCCTGGGGCAGTTATATTTAGTCCCTGGCAGTCTTAGCACTCCTCAGCTGCACTGTGCCAAAAAAACTTGCCCACCATTTCTTTCATGAAGGAAGATGCATCTCTTAGGTTTTGTTTGTAGCAGGTACATGCTCTGTAGATGTACATACACCTGAATGCATGTCAGTGCTCTGTAATGGTGAGGCCCTCTGTGTTTGGTAGCAAGCATTGGATATAGGTAGCTGCAGGTGCTGTTCAGTCACCAAGTCATTGCATGTTTCTCTAAGATGGAAATAATGAGGTTGGTTTGAAAGGGGCAGGGAGAAGTGCTAAAAATGTGACTGACAATGAGTTGGTTTTCCATTTTCCATCATACTGCATTGGATTGTCAGTGGGTGATCTAGCCAGAGTAAGGAATCTCTATAGTGCAAAGGGCAGTTCCCATTGGTACAAAATAGTAAAAAGCCCAGTAGCACCTTTAAGACTAACAAATTTTATTGTAGCATAAGCTTTCGAGAAACACTGCTCTCTTCATCAGATGCCTTTAAACTGTCGGTTGGTTGGAGTTGTAGTGAGAAATGATTTATGAGGGCTTTGCATAAACTATTTGTGCTCTTGGTTGTTGCCTGTCTTGAGTAACCTCAGGAGCACTGCTCTGCGGAGCCTTGCAGGAAAGAAGCCGTACACATTCCTCTGTGTGTGTGCTGGGACTTAGGACTTCAAAGAGACTGTATAGTCTGTGGATTTAAGTCCACAGCATTTAATAAGCAATATCCGCACACTCTTGAGCGCCATAGTAAGCATGGAAAGGTAAGTCGAACAACAATCTGAGACTGTCCCATTTAAGGGGCAGCTGCCCTGCAAGTAATTATTCGGAAGTCCTTTGCCTGCCTGCTTGCCTTCACATTCACCAAGGCAAGTCACATGTGTGTGTGTGTGTGTGAATCTGATCTTCCAGTTCAGCAGAGTATCCCTGTCAGGTTGCCTGGGAGCATTACTGTCTTGCCAGAGAGGAGTGGCTTTCTGCATGTCTGTCTTACAGCGAAGAAAGTATAGCCTCAGCGCAGTGCTGAGTGGGACTTTGGCTCTAGAATGGGACTGACTTTTCACTCCAGTTCTTAACACAGAATAGCAGGGGGTTCTCACTGCACGGAAGGCCCTGGGGTATAATGATGCCAACAGGAATGTAAACAGCCGCATAGCTAGGGTTTTTTGGGAGGGGGCCACAGCTAATTAAATCAAAGTTAATTACATTAATTCAATTTGGAACCAGCCTGAGAGTGAGGGCCCCCAGAAGAAATGCTAGGAGGCTACTTAATATCTCCCAAGAGCCTTTGGACAGGGACAAAACGGCAGCTCGGTGGGTGGATCCAGTCACAAAATGGTTGCTTGTTCAGACATTATTTATTTATTTATTTTTCGATTTATATCCCGCCCTCCCAATGGCTCAGGGCAGCTAACATACAGCAAAAGTTGCATTAAATAGATAAAATACAATAAAACAAAGCCACATTAAAACACACAATAGAACCATACAATATTTAAAGTGCTCTAGTCTTCCTACATATAAATCACCCAAGACGGGAACAGTGAACCCAGTGCGGTAGCCAGCTGTCTCTAGCGCGGTCTCCAGTAGCGCTGCTCTTCGTGCATTCTGCCAGGCGATAGTTGCCCTATATGATGGAAACAAAAGTAGGACAATGCCACACTGGTGGAATAGTGGCGGCGCGGTGGCTCCTACTCAAAAGCCTGGCGGAAGAGCTCCGTCTTACAGGCCCTGCAGAACTGCACAAGGTCCCGCAGGGCCTGGATCTCCTCTGGAAGCTCGTTCCACCAGGTAGGAGCCACCACCGAAAACGCTCTGGCCCTAGTAGGGGCAAACTTCACATCTCGGGGGCCTGGAACTTCCAAGAGGTGGAGACTCCCCGATCTTAGTGCTCTTGGGGGAACATACGGGGAGAGGCGGTCCTTCAGGTAAGCCGGACCCCGGCCATTCAGGGCTTTAAAGGTGAGAACCAGCACTTTGAAGCGAATCTGGTATGCTATTGGCAGCCAGTGCAGCGCAGGCCGGATGTGGTTTCGCCTAGAGAGGCCCATCAGCAGCCTGGCCGCAGCATTCTACACTAGCTGCAGCTTCCGGATTTGCGACAGAGGCAGCCCTAAGTAGAGAGCGTTACAGTAGTCCAGCCTCGAGGTAACCGTCGCATGGATCACAGTGGCCAGGTCATCAGCCAAGCCAACCGCAGATGGGGTTCAATGTGGCCAAGTGCAAGGTGATGCACATTGGAGCCAAAAATCCTAACTATAAATACACATTGATGGGGTCTGAACTGGCAGAGACTGATCAAGAGAGAGATCTTGGAGTTGTAGTAGATAACTCACTGAAAATGTCGAGACAGTGTGTGACTGCAATAAAGAAGGCCAATGCTATGCTGGGGATTATTAGGAAGGGTATTGAAAACAGATCAGCCAATATAATAATGCCCCTATATAAATCAATGGTGAGACCTCATTTGGAATACTGTGTGCAATTCTGGTCACCACACCTTAAAAAGGATATTATAGCTTTGGAAAAAGTGCAGAAAAGGGCAACTCAAATGATAAAAGGGTTGGAACACTTTCCCTATGAGGAAAGGTTAAAGCACTTAGGGCTCTTTAGCTTGGAGAAAAGACGACTGAGGGGTGACATGATCGAGGTTTATAAGATTATGCATGGGAAAGAGCAGGTAGAGAAAGAGGTACTTTTCTCCCTTTCTCACAATACAAGAACCCGTGGGCACTCCATGAAATTGCTGAGCGGTCGGGTTAGAACGGATAAAAGGAAGTACTTCTTCACCCAAAGAGTGATTAACACATGGAATTCAGTGCCACAGGAAGTGGTGGCGGCTACAAGCATGGACGGCTTCAAAAGGGAATTAGATAAGCATAAGGAGCAGAGGTCCATCAGTGGCTATTAGCCACAAGGTATAGATAGGGGCTCTGGGGCAAGTGATGCTCTGTCTTCTTGGTGCTTGGGGGGAGTCAACAGTGGGAGGGCTTCTAATGTCCTGTCCCCACTGGTGGACCTCCTGATGGCACTGGTATTTCTGGCCACTGTGTGACACAGAGTGTTGGACGGGATGGGCCTTTGGCCTGATCCAACATTGGCGTCTCTTATGTTCTTATGTTCTCACCCAAGGTCTGCAGATGACATGAAGCACATGGAAGAAATAACCAGGCTGTTTCAAGGCAGCGGAATGGAGAACCAGACACAGGAGATAAAGTCCCACAAGGATATAACTTCTGATCCTGAGGAGCAGAGCTGGGAAATGGTGATGGAAAAGAAGCACTTCAAGCTATGGCGGCGCCCAATTGGGGGGTCTCATCTGTACCAGTATCGAGGTAGTTCCCACCTTGGTGTTCCCTCTTCTGTCAACACAAATGAGTCCTGCAGTCTAGTCACAGTGGTTTGCTTGATTCCTTTGAATAGCTTTTACCTACCCGAGACTGCCTGTACTCAGTGCATAAAAATAATCTCGTGCCTTTGAAGACCAAGAGTTTGGTCCAAACTGAATTTTCTGCTAACGGGAGGGGCGATGCAATTTCTGCCAGTTCCCCTGTCCTGCTGCAGATCCCCCAGTCTGCTTTTCTTGTCGTTTCTGAGAGCCCCGCCGCCATCCTCCGGGAGCAGCATTTCAGGGAGATCAGTGGGCTGTAGCAGGTGTGGGGGCTTGAAGGTTCTGTTGTGCTGATGCAAGTACTTTCCGCCCGTGGAAAACTTAATCTGGATCCAACCCCAAATTCTGTTTTTTGCTCGTTTGTTTTTTGCCATCAAGTCACAGCTGACTCACGGCAACCCCATCGGGTATTCAAGGCAAGAGACATTCGAAGGTGGCTTGCCATTGCCTTCCTCCGTGTAGCAACCCTGGGCTTGCTCGGCGTTCTCCCATCCAAATAACTAATCAGGGCCAACCCTGGTAGCTTCCGAGGTCTGGCAAGATTGGGCTAGCTTGTGCTGTCCAGGTCAGAGCCAAGTTCTGTCCCTTATGTAAATTATGTGATTTTGCCCAATTCCTCCTAGAGGGCGTGACTATAGTTCTACTAGTCATGGACTGGAGTCTATGCAGCACACCATAAGTCAGTCTGCCTCCTTGACAACCAGAAGTCTTACTTGGTAAGTTATTCTGGCTTCAGAGACCTTGTTAAAGTATTTTATTTATCTTTAATAATTGAGCAAAGATTTTAGGTCTTTGGTAACAAAGCAGCATACCCACAGCCCTGCTCTCAAGGAACCAGTATATGAAAGGAAACAACAGAGAACCAGGCGGCTTAGGCTTTGTCGGGTGGAGAAGAAAAAGTTCCCTGAATTTGTTTGAGTCCATTGGCACCTTTAAGACCAAGTTTTATTCAGGGTATAAGCTTTTGTGTGCAAGCTGATGTCTTCAGATACACGAAAGCTCATACCTTGAATAAAACTTTTGTTCATCTTAAAGGTGCCCCTGGACTCAAACTTTGTTCTGCTGCTTCAGACCAACGCAGCTGCCCACCTGAATGAATTTATTTGTGAGTGATCCATGAAAAGTTTCTATGTTTGCTTCCAGCTGTTGACCTCAGTTCTCCAGTCTGGTGAGCGTCTTCGTTCTTCTAGTCAAGCCTGCCCACCCTTGTAGCATCACTCTTCCTCGGGTGTGTAGCTGCCTCAGTCTTCTCTGCTGCTTCTCTTTATTCCAGCTCTGATGCTGTTGCTTATTTCCGTAACACCTGCAGTCAGAAGCCATCCTGATCTCTTCCTAATCAGGCTTCCCTACATCTGAGCTGAAATGTATGCTTCTGACCAGTGGCTATGATATGTCTTTCTTTTATAGTCTTCGGGACGTACATGGATGTGACTCCAAGGCAGTTTTTCAATGTGCAGGTGAGTACCCTGAATCTCTTTTTGTCATTTGAAAGCATCTGTGGTGGTTCTTCAGTGTTTCTCTGAAACAGAGTCTTTTGGGTTACATGGCTTAAGTGCGCAGAGGACCTAGTAAGGTACACTTTTTGGTATCTTATCCCAGGGGGTTGATGTAGGAGTAACCCAAGAGGTAGGAAGCTGCTGGGCTGGATCCAGACTAAATGGGCACTTTCCACCGATCCCACTTTTTTGTTGTAGACCCTTCTCCCCCCTGTCAGTCCTCAGGATTCCATATCCCCCAGGAGCAATATTCCTTGGAGATGAGTGGGCTGTAGTGTGAGTGTGGAGGCCAAACCACTGCCTTTTCATTTGCTGGCGATCTATTGAACAATTCTGTAAGAGTCGTCAGCTCTCGGTTTGCACTCTGCCAGGTAGAAAATACATGATGCCATCAATCCAAGTACGTTCTCCTGAATTCTTATCTTCTAGCTGGATACTAAGTATCGCAAGAAGTGGGACTCACTAGTCATCAAGCTGGAGGTGATTGAGAGGGATCAGGACACTGGATCAGAGGTTGTTCACTGGGTAACTCACTTTCCGGTGAGTGCCTCTTTTCCCTA